ACCAAAAATTATTATATTATTCTTTCTGATTCGTCTTTCTAACGATAGGTATTTATTTTCCAAATTAATTACTGTTTTTTCTAGCTTCTTTATTTTTTCATTTTAAGCTAATTTTATATCTTTTAATTCTGCTAGTACTTTATCTGTTTGCTCCTGTTGGATCTTCGTAATTTGTTAAAAAAAATGGTTGAACTTTTCATCTATTGTCGACATGAAAAGTTTTTGTGGTACCCTCGTAAATGTAATTCAAATTTAAAATTGGATGATGTTAAGTACGGGAAGCGAAGATGAACCCTATTGACTTATTGATAGTTGATAATTTTATGGATGGTGATACATTTTTGCAATATTGAACTTTATGTCCACCATGTGCATGTGCACTTTGTCATTGATTTATGCACTTTGAATTAAAATTTTCAACGTACCTTGTCCGTAACTCGCTTCACAGTACTTATTTCACTTGGTTTTCAACTTTTGATTAATCTATTTCTCATTCTTAGATCAGATTTTCACTTATAATTTAGAGCATACAAAACACGGTCAATAGCTCGCGGCCATTTTTAATTCATCAATTTGACCACCAAAAATGAATCTCATGAATACACAATGTAAAAGAAATCAATATAATCAGTAGGTAGTTAGGTAATTTAGAAATTCGTTATACACTTTGAAGAAAATTTTCTGGGGTTGCTTTATTATTTAACAAATATTTTTTTAAATCAAAAAAGGTAAATCAAACGAGGGTGGTCCTTAGGATCTCACAAGAGTATTTTATTACGACCGGTTTCGAGGATCAGATCATCATCATCAGGTAAGGTCTAAAATAGAGAGGAAAAACGAATGAGCTCATAACTAATAAAGTGGGTTTAAACATTTTAATATGAAAGTTGTCAAATATCAAGAACTCACCTGTAATTACTCATCTATTTAAGACTAAGCTAAGAGAATTATCCCAGGGTCGGTGTAAAAACAAGTATGCGAGTATTTTTTAAAATACATAAAAAACAATAGTTGCAACAAAAAGTTGATGTCAAAACACATAAACAAAAGTAGGTCTAAAACCATTAATTAAAATTATTAAAATATTTCACGAACGGACGAACAATTAAGACAAACAAATTTAAAAACTTTTTAAACCCTACAAGCACTAAAATGGGTTCTTGGACAAGTGTTTATAATTCTACAGGAATTAAATTTTATTTAGATTAAATATACTGATTAACGCCCTCTAGGTATAAATAGACGAATTAACCATTCTAATATTTAAGATAACAGTTTAGAAGTTGTCAAATTTAAATATTTTGACCATCGGCGTTGGCGAAAAAAATAAATGTTTCTTAATAATAATATAGGTTTATAAAATGAATTGTTTGAATTTGTACGTAATAATAAACAAAATGAAATAAATAAATTATTATTGTTAAAAGTAGAGTCTAGCATTAGCGTTGGAAAATAATTTTAGATGTACTAATATTCAAATTAAGAAGTTGGTAACAATCAACGGAAAAAGAAAATGGTGTTAAATGAAAAGAAGAAAAAACTATTGATTTGGTTAGTTGTTTTTTGAAGTAATGTGCTGAAAAATGAAAATGGAAATGGAGACAGAATAAAAATATAAGATAAGTATAACTAATAATTAAAGTCAATAGAATTTCATAGGGAAATTTTTAAAGTAAAAAGGGGGGGGGGGGTAATTTAAGGGAAACGTAGATTTTTAAAAAAGAACTGAGAACGTGGGTGTGGATTCGGAAAAAACTTGTGAGTTTAGTGATAATGCATTGGTACTTTTTCTTAATCTAAATATTTCTAGGTTCTCCAAATTATTCAATATCAACTTGTTGTGGCAAATGTGGAGTACCCTAAAGCCATCCCCTGAGTCAAAATCGTGATTGGACTCTACTAGATGGGTGGCAAAATGTGAGAAGCCGGTTGTGGCAGTATTCAAACATCTTAAATGTCCTAAAATTACGAAAGGTTCTACCTACATATTTGGCTGGGCAAGACTTACAACTGAGTTCATATATGCCTAATTGATCCATGATGGCCACTTTATCTTTATTCTTGATGAAAAAGTTACTAATTGAGTTGGAGGATTTAAAAGAAATTTTGAAGTGATTTTTGAGGATATTGGAGACTTTATAAGAAATATTTCCAATATAGGTAAGTGACATATACTTACTAATGCTAGCCTCTACAGGTATAGGGTTAGTTATAAATGTTGTATTTTGAATAATTCTATTTTGTTTTTTACTCAACATTTTATCGATTAAACTGTGATCATAATTGTGTAAATAAGCTATGTTTTTTATTGTCTTAAGTTCTCTATTGTAGTTTTCAATGGATAAAGGTACTCGTAATAGACGTTCTAAATAACAATTAAAGGAAGCTAATTTATGCGAGATGGGGTGATTAGACAAATTATCTATTACTACTCGTGTATGAGTGGGTTTTCTATAGATATCAAAACTTAATTTAGAGTCATTGATAAAATGTTGAGTAAAAAACAAAATAGAATTATTCAAAATACAACATTTATAACTAACCCTATACCTGTAGAGGCTAGCATTAGTAAGTATATGTCACTTACCTATATTGGAAATATTTCTTATAAAGTCTCCAATATCCTCAAAAATCACTTCAAAATTTCTTTTAAATCCTCCAACTCAATGGGCCCGTTCACTTTCATTTTTGAATGTGAATTAATTATATATTTATAAAGATATTAAACTCTTTTATCTGGTGGTACTTTTCCCGTTAAGATATTTTTGCTAGAAGTAAGGGAATTCCCATAAAATTCTTTCAGTGACTCATTGCGTCAGAAAACCCCTAATTCCCTTCAAGTCTCGTATCGGTTAATAGTTAAAAGGGCGCGGTTGTCGGATGTATTATTGCACCACCATTGCTCTTCTGCATTTATTAAAGAAATTTACATTATAAAAATATATTATTTTTTTAAAATAATGTATTTATATTTTTAGATAAAGCTGGAAGCCTTACCTTTTTTAAATTTTAATAAAAACAATTAGTATTACTCAAGCTGAATATTACCAAATCGAAATTTTTATTTGAGAAAATGTATCTGGTAAACGTGACAACGTTGAAAGTACTTCTAAATAGTGTTGTCTACACACACTTCTAGAAATAAATGCAACGTTGCCACGTTTACCAGATAAATATTGCAAATCAAATTTCTACTTTTTGATTATGGTCTGGTTAATTTTCAGCCTGAGTAATAATAATTGTTTTAATTAAAAAAAAAAATAAGCTCTCAGCTTTAAATCTGAAAATATAACATCACGATTTTTAGAAAAATAATGGAATTTTACTATTTAAATTACATATATAAATGCAGAAATGGTATATTAGGGATACTTCCGACAACCCCGCCGTCTTTAAGCATAACCGATACGAGACGTGAACGGAATTAGGGATTTTCTGACGCAATGAGTCACTGAAAGAATTTTATGGGAATTCCCTTACTTCTAGCAAACATATCTTAACGGGAAAAGTACCACCAGATAAAAGAGTTTAATATCTTTATAAATATATAATTAATTCACATTCAAAAATGAAAGTGAACGGGCCCATTAGTAACTTTTTCATCAAGAATAAAGATAAAGTGGACATCATGGATTAACCAGGCATATATGAACTCAGTTGTAAGTCTTGCTCAGCCAAATATGTAGGTAGAACCTTTCGTAATTTTAGGACTAGACTTAAAGAACATTTAAGATGTTTGAATACTGTCACAACCGGCTTCTCACATTTTGCCACCCATCTAGTAAAGTCCAATCACGATTTTGACTCAGGGGATGGCTTTAGGGTACTCCACATTTGCCACAACAAGTTGATATTGAATAATTTGGAGAACCTAGAAATATTTAGATTAAAAAAACTCACAAGTTTTTTCCGAATCCACACCCACGTTCTCAGTTCTTTTTTAAAAATCTACGTTTCCCTTAAATTACCCCCTCCCCTTACTTTAAAATTTTCCTATGAAATTCTATTGACTTTAATTATTAGTTATACTTATCTTATATTTTTATTCTGTCTCCATTTCTATTTTCATTTTTCAGCACATTACTTCAAAAAACAACTAACCAAATCAATAGTTTTTTCTTCTTTTCATTTTAACACCATTTCCTTTTTCCGTTGATTGTTACCAACTTCTTAATTTGAATATTAGTACATCTAAAATTATTTTCCAACGCTAATGCTAGACTCTACTTTTAACAATAATAATTTATTTATTTCATTTTGTTTATTATTACGTACAAATTCAAACAATTCATTTTATAAACCTATATTATTATTAAGAAACATTTATTTTTTTCGCCAACGCCATCTATTAGCCGATGGTCAAAATATTTAAATTTGACAACCTCTAAACTCTTATCTTAAATATTAGAATGGTTAATTCGTCTATTTATACCTAGAGGGCGTTAATCAGTATATTTAATCTAAATAAAATTTAATTCCTGTAGAATTATAAACACTTGTCCAAGAACCCATTTTAGTGCTTGTAGGGTTTAAAAAGTGTTTAAATTTGTTTGTCTTAATTGTTCGTCCGTTCGTGAAATATTTTAATAATTTTAATTAATAGTTTTAGACCTACTTTTGTTTATGTGTTTTGACATCAACTTTTTGTTGCAACTATTGTTTTTTATGTATTTTAAAAAATACTCGCATACTTGTTTTTACACCGACCCTGGGATAATTCTCTTAGCTTAGTCTTAAATAGATGAGTAATTACGGGTGAGTTCTTGATATTTGACAACTTTCATATTAAAATGTTTAAACCCACTTTATTAGTTATGAGCTCATTCGTTTTTCCTCTCTATTTTAGACCTTACCTGATGATGAGGATCTGATCCTCGAAACCGGTCGTAATAAAATACTCTTGTGAGATCCTAAGGACCACCCTCGTTTGATTTACCTTTTTTGAACTTATAACTCACACATGGCTACCACCTTCAACTTTAATTTTTTTAAATACTTACAAAATTCCAACACCAGCAAGACCGTTTATTGTGGCTGACACGAAATAAAATATACCGCTGTCTGTTTCTAAAGTGGCATTGTAAATAGCCTGAAATAACAGATTAGACAGCATCATATTCACGTTCATTATTATACTTTGTAGAGCAAATATTTTGCCGATTTCTTCTGGAGATACTATATAAGAAATTATTGTTCTTATCATTATTCCTTGAATTCCATTGAAAATGCCTATAAAGCTTGCTGAAAAATTACGAAAATGTAAAGCATAAAAAAAAAAAATAATGGTTGGTAGATGAACTAAAAAATATTGTATGAAACAACGAATTTAATAGAGAAATAACTAATATAGACCAAGGGTGAAGCCTTTGAAAATGGTAAAAAGTGAAAAAAAAAAAATAATATTAGCATGAAACAAATTGGAAAAGGAAGAGAATATAACTAAAATGAAACCAAAAATAATTTACGGGTGATCTGAAGTTAGGAACTGGAAGGGATAATTGTTTAAGGGTAAAAAACGGTTTATCTCGATTTTTAGCATAACTACAAGTCCTATAAAAAAATTTAAATGACAAAGTTATAGGTAATAAAAAGAAGGGAGTCCGGTTCTGAATAAATTATGAAATAGTGAATTTATTCAGCTCCTGATAAATATTTATATTGTGCTCTAAACAGATTTTCAAATATTTTGAATTTAGCCATATAAGTGTTCTCCAGTATATTACATCCCGCACTGTAAGTAAAAACTATAAAACAACGAACGATATTATTTAAATATCAATTTCTAACCTGGTTTTGGAACCGAATCGGAAGCAAAAAACTAGCAAATGTATCGCCTTATCAAGAAAGTTTGATCGGCTGTATGATAAATGTTGCTTCAACTACAGATCCGTACTTAGGTTCGACTGAATTCACAAATTAATGCCCAGCAAACATTTTGGTGTAATTTGACGTCGATACTACCTAAATTATATATAATAAAGGTCGCAAAATTAGATTTAACCATAATTAAGTAAAATTTACGTTGGCTCGACGTGGATTCGACATAAGTGGAGAATAGGACGACGTCGAAATTTGGTTTTATTTACCAAAATAGGTAGAATTACATCTAAATCCACATTGTAGTAGCCCAGTACGTTTGGTTAGTAATACCTCTCTAGGGAAATTTGACGTCAGTATAACGTTAATTCGACGTTGATTTAACTAAGTTTAGGTAGAAACTACCAAAATATTTGCAGATGACGTATGCCTCCAAGTGTATGAAAAGAAATTTTATACTTATTTGGTATTTTTATCTATATATAAGCAGAAATATTGTAAGAAGTCACCAACACAACTAAAACATATGCCTAATTCACATGAAAGATTGAAAATTTTAACGGGAGAATTTTCGATTGAAAATTAGGGTGCTTTTTTGATATTAAGTCAAAATAAGGTGAAAAAACAAATATTTTAAATCAAAAAATGTACAGTGTGTTTGGGATATAAAAAGGTAAGTTTTCACCAAATTTCGTATTTTTTTTTTGTTAAAGAAAAATAAAAAACCAAGATCTTGGTTATTTGAATTTTTAACATAAATTTTGATATGTAAATACAAAAGTTGTAGATCTTTTTATTACCTACAACTATGCCATTTTTTTTTTTTTTTCATAGTTTTGCCGGAAATTGATATAAACCGTTTTTTACCCTTAAAACTCACCACTTCTGTTGCCCGTAAATTATTTTTCCTTTCATTTTTGTTATATTTTCTTCTTTTTCTAATAGGTTTTATCCCAATATTTTTTTTGTTTCAAAAATTATCGACCCTTGTCTAATAGTGCAAAAGAGCTACAAAATAGTAGGTCCTGCATGGAATAACTTACCTATATAAATAAAATAGTCTTTATCCATTGTAGATAAACCACGTAAAATACTAGCAGCTGAAAACGATAAAATTGAGAATAGTGCTAGTTTAAGTTCTCCAATTTTCAAGAGTTTATATAGAAAGTACGTCCCGCCAATAGTACCAATGATGTTGCCAACACTCGTCACACTGGAAGTAATTGTAATTTTCGTAAGTGTCCAATTCAATTTAGCTCTTAGAAACAGAGTTTGAACAGACATTTCTCCCATACTGAACGTTTGAAAAAATATTATTCCAAGTACTGCTAATAGGTATCCCCTTGCGTTGTTTGGACGTTTTTTAAATGTATTTTTGGCAATGTCTGTGAGATTAATGTACTTCAACAAATGTTTTAATTTAGGGACCTAAAAATAATGAAAATAATTACAGCTCCAAGCTGCAGATTTAATATAGGTAGGCCAGTTATATCTCAGCAAAATATAGTGCCAAAACTCATTGATATATCAAAATAAAATCAAAACAGTTTTAATATGTTAGAAAATCTACTTAACAAGAAAATAGTTTTCGACGTACAAATAGCAAAAATGTTTGTGACAATTTTAAATAAATAATATTGTATATTTTTACAATTTTAGATTGCTTGTTCAGTATCCTTTATGACAATGTTTTGTTTTTTCATATCTGATGCTGCGTTGGCAAGCTATTTAAATTTTTTATAAAATTTCCTGAAAAATCGGTACATTTCGAAAATTTTCAAAAATACATTTATTCGAGGAATTTTGAAAAATAAACTTTGACTGTCAGATGGGACATGAACGTACCTTTTGTATAGAGAGGGTTTTTATAGTATAAGATTATATTTACTGGTAATTTAAAAATAAAGTTTTTTTTTAATAAAACGCTATATATAGAAAAGTTTGTCTCCAACCCATGTAAATTCTCTGTAACCTCTAATCCACGCTGTATTAAAAGGCATTTTACTTGAGAACAAATTGGACTTCCAACACTTCTAACGTATAAGTTCTGAATTTAACAAATTACTAAACGAAACACACAATTTACGCAAGGCAAGGGTAGCACTTTCTAAATAAAACTAAAACCATATTTATTTATAATTTTTAATAATATATATAATATATATAAAAATTATAAATAAATATGGTTTTAGTTTTATTTAGAAAGTGCTACCCTTGCCTTGCGTAAATTGTGTGTTTCGTTTAGTAATTTGTTTTTCCCATATAAATTTAAAACGGAGTATTATGTGGCAAAAAAATTGGTATTAAAATTTTGTCCGATGATAATACATAGGCGTAGAACTTGATTTTTTAAATAATTTCACCTTTAAAAATTCTACGCCAATGGAAGAAAAGGAGTTTGAGTATGAAATTTAGATTGCGCAACTCATTTATTTTAAAAAAGGTACTCTTGATAAGACTCGATTACTCTCATGGTTTTCGCTATATTTCTGTTTTAATAATTTAGAGTGTATAGGTTTCACAAAAATATTTATTTACAACATAAAAAATTGTTCAAAATGTTCACCATTTTCACGCATACAAAGATTTATACGTCGAAGAAAATTAAAATGTATCCTTTCCATAACTTCTTCATCACCTCTAAGATTGTTTATTGCATCTTGAATACGTTGCTAGAGTTGTTCCTCATTTTCTACAGGTTCCCTGTAAACTGTGGATTTCAGATGTCCCCATAAAAAGTAATCCATCGGTGTTAGGTCTGGGGAACGTGGTAGCCAGTTTACAGGTGCGTCATTACCTTTGCTTATCCATTTGTGTGGATATTGTTCATTCAAGTGGTTTCTAACGTTTAAAGAAAAATGTGGTGGAGCTCCATCTTGCCTAAACCACATATCTCTCCGAAGTTGGAAAGGTAAATCTTCTAACAATTCTTGCAACGTATTTTGTAGAAAATCCAAATAATTTTTTCCAGTTAATCTTCGTGGAAGTATGACAGGACCAAGAATGAAATTACCAATTATTCCAGCCCACACATTAATTTTGAATTCGTGCTGAAAATGGTTTACCTTTATTGCATGCGGATTTTCAACGGCATAAACATGTTCATTATGGGTATTAGTTATACCTCTTCTTGTAAAACCCGCTTCATCGGTAAAGAGAACCTTCTTGACATAGTTTGGATCTCTTTCTCTTTGCATATTAACAAATCGACAAAAACCCAAACTAATTTGAGGATCATGGACTAATAATTCTTGTACTGGCTTCTTATGGTATGGATATAGCAATTGTTCTCTAAGCACTTTATGAACGGCATCTTTACTTACTCCTAGTTCCCTTCCAATTCGTCTGGTGCTTAATTCTGGATCTTCTTCAACACGTTCTAAAATGTCTTCTTCAACTTCAGGAATGCTTACAAAACGTTATTTTCCATTATCAACAGTGTTGGGAGCAAAGGAACCGGTCTCCCGAAGACGTCTCTCAACATCAGCAAAAGTTGGGTGGCTAGGTACACGACGATTTGGAAACCTTTCAGAGTACACCCTGACACTCTCTCGAGCATTTCCTTCACAAAATCCTAATGTCAGTAACATATCGGTATATTCTGCATTGGTATATTGTACAGCCATATTAATAAACCACGCATTTGTTTTTTAATTATTGAGTCAGATAGAACACTTTCAATCGTTAACAAGAGATTAGGTGTTAAAACTTGACAATATTTTTATTTAGATGAAACTATGGAAACCAACAATAAATGTTTTTGTATACGTATTGCAGGCAAATAATTAATATTCCTCAAAAAATCGTACATGGCAAGAATCGAGTATTTTTGTTGAAAGTCACGATTAGAAGCGTTGAAGAAGATATGAAAAAACGTACATTTTTATGTTTTTCATCGTATAAAATTTTGTCCGATAATAATACATGATTTTTTAAATAATTGCACCTTTAAAAATTCTACACCAATAGCAAAAAAGAAGTTTGAGTATGAAATTTGGATTGGGTACTTGTTCAGATTCCCTGAACAAAGTAACAATCATTTTCCCACTCATTTCAAACTTGTATTTTTATTTTATAAAAACACTACTCATGGTGACATCTACCCAGCAAAGAAGAGGGTACATGTGGTCAAATTATCGATTCTACAATTTCAGAACCTTTTATTTGTCCATTTATTAAGAATTAATGTAACTTTAGTATTATCTGGGCAGATGGCTCTTGAGATTTGCCCTCCCGCGCTTTGGGTACGACGGACGATGGGGCTCAGGGTGTCGGCCATTCCGTTTTAACTCAGCATCTCAAAAACACGCTACTTCTCGCAATTTAAATATTAACTTTATTTTTAATATATAATTCATGTTTACCAGTGCAACGGTAATGATTGTTTTATAACCCGGTGATCGTTAATAATTTTTGTAACTTAAAATGTATGTGTAACTAAGTTTGGATTTATAAAACTATTACTGTATATAATAAACGCATGTAAATAATTAAACAGTGCCGTCCTATTTTATTATGTTCTTCAAGTTGTGACTCCTCGATCGACATTTAATTGGATCTGCGAATTCTATGGAGAAGCACTCCATTATTTAGTTAAATCATTTTGAAAGGTTGACTCCCTCTGTAAGAGCGTCACGTAGCCAGTGGCGTCCCTACAGTACTCATTTACTACAAAAAAGTACCCTTGATAACACTCGATTTACTCTCATGGTTTTGACAAAGTTTGTATTTTAATAATTATTGTTTATGTTCTAAAATTACTAAAATGCAAATTTCGTTAAAACCATGAGAGTAATCGAGTCTTATCAAGAGTACCTTTTTTAAAGTAAATGAGTTACGCCATCTAAATTTCATACTCAAACTCCTTTTCTTTCATTGGCGTAGAATTTTTAAAGGTGCAATTATTTAAAAAATCAAGTTCTACACGTATGTAATATTATCAGACAAAATTTTAATACAATTTCTTTTGCCACATAAAACTCTACCAATATACCAAATTTCATCAAAATCGCATATACCGTTTTAAATTTATATGGGAAAAACGATTTAAAAATTGTAACTTCAAGGCCCTCTGGAGCCCAAACGAAGTAACTTTGTATAAAGCTAATTTTACTTAAATCGACTTATTTTGGTCTAAGGAATATGTGGTATATTTTTGTAAAGACCTTTTACAGACACCCTGTATATGCCGTTGTTGTTGTTTTTGTTTTTGTTGTTTTTGCATACCTAACATCATTTTCATTTGTTTTAATCTTAATTGCATTTCCTGCAATTGTTTAGTCGTGTATAGCCGATTCTGTCTTTGAGAGTATATCTCTATATTTTTTCAATTTTTTCCTCGTTAACGCTAATTGTTGTTTCCATATTATGTATCATGGTTTGATTTTTTGCGCTTCAGAAGATTTTTTTTTGTGTTAATTTTCTCTACACATTTTAATACTATTTTTATTGTAACACTTTTATTTTTATGCATTAACTTTAGCAATCATTGTTTTTTTTTTGAAAGATCACAATTTAGCACATAGGATTGATCTTGACCTAGATTTCGAAGCAGTCTTTTGAAATATTCAACCGCACTCAACGATAGTCGAACGAATAAATAGCATTATCGTAAAGGCCACTGAAATAGCAAAAAAATGTAAAAATATACAGGTCGCGTCAATTGATAATGAAATTTTTACTACTTGAATGTCGAGTACTCTAGTAATTATTTGATGTTGGAACAAAATAAAACTTGTTTTGTTTTATTTTACTACACTCCGTGGGGGATAATTATCCTGCCTTAACTCATTTATTGTTAAATATACAGTAGAGTTATATTATACAATAAATATAGAACAACCAGTCAGTAGACAATGATTTAAATTGATTAAGTCGTGAATTTATCTACTCCCGATTTTCCAACAAGATATTTATTATGAATAAGTAATTTTCATACCTGTTTTTCACCTTTAATCGACTCTGGAATGAAGAAAAATGTGTAAATAGTGGCGACTCCATGTAAACCCGTTATTATAATATAAACAGTTTTATAGTCGGTACCATATAATAAATACGAAGAAACTATATTTCCTAGAAACGTTCCCAAACCCATAACTATCTCGTACACGGCCATTCTAAAAAAATAATTTATTATTTGGTATATCTGTTAATGTAAGGGACAATCAAACCCAGTAAAAGTCATTAAACCACCAAAACTGTTTATTTATTAGTATTACACTATTCTATATTTTATTGCTTGGTTACACGCTACGCGGTCGAGCTAAGACTCCGACTGTTGCTTTCCTCCGCTGCTCTTCGTTCGTCCGTCCTGACTTGCCAGGAGTATTGACAATTGACAGTGACAAGTTGTCAATAAAGGGAAGTATCACTAACATATCTGTCAATGGTGGTTGGAAAAATATGACATATTGTATAAGTATTTTGGATAAATTTTATAAACTGATAAAGAATTCAGTGAAGGAGCTACAAATAAAGTAGGGTTGCTGAAGGACAGAAAAGAAAATGGATATGAAAATACGGTAAATTTAAACTAATATTACATGAGAAATTTACAGCTGTCGCACCAGTCGGAAAGTTGTGTGTAAAATGTATGTTAGAGGTAAGAAAACTGTCATGATTGAGAAATGTCAATAGAAATGAATACAATTATAGATAAGAATGTACATAATAGTTGTACCATAGTTGCGCCTATTAGTAAAAATATTATACAATAGGCTTAAGGTTTATATGGACCTACCTCCTTACACGTGTCTGACTCTAAAGATGGCTCTACTTGTCAAATCAAATTTAGTATACAATTGATTAAAATAACAGTGTTCTATCTGCGATACAACAATATTTCGTTAGTGTATACCGCCAAGAGAGACTGCCAGCACAATAATAGATTACACGGGAGATCTCCATGATTTTCGGTACGAAAAACATTACCAAACTTCATATAATTTGCTTTGTTTGTATGGTAAGCCGCAGTGGCGTGGGTAACCAAAACTGCGCAGGCAAGTGCAATAGGCCAACTCACTAGCATTTAGCGGCTTGCCTGTCTAAGTGCTACTGGGGCCATGCGCACTACGCCGACCGCAGCAATGGAGGTATTACTAAATCTCACGCCATTGCACATCTTCATACAAGGAGAAACCAGGTCAACTATTCACAGGCTTATGCAGGGACAAAACCCAATAAGCCAACTACATAGCGCCGACCACACAAGGCTATATCAGCAAGTAAAAAGGGATAATATTCTAGCTATGCCTACTGAGCCATAACCACATACAAATTTGAAAGAAATTTTCAAATTTGAATACCAGCCCGAGAATCCTGGAAACAGGGACCTCCCGTACAGGCTGAACTCGTCTGGTACACAGACGGTTCAAAAACCAAGGAAGGAGCCGGTGCTGGAATCTATGGACCTAAGTCGAAATCAACGATTTCACTAAGCTTAGGAAAATATGCAACAGTGTTCCAGGCTGAGCTAATAGCCATACAACACTGTGCAAGAGAAATATTAAATCAGCAAGTATCAGGCAAAACTATTGTCATATACTCTGATAGCCAAGCAGCTCTAAAGGCAATTCTCTCACCAGAAATCAAATCACGACTAGTGAAAGACTGTCTAGAAGACCTGACAGAGCTAAGTAGTCAAAATAAGGTGACCTTAGCCTGGGTTCCAGGCCATGAGGGAAATCAGGGCCACGAAAAGGCCGACGAATTAACCCGAGAAGGCTCAGATAAGGCCATGACAGGCCCTGAACCCTTCTGTGGAGTTGCTATGGCATTGTGCAAGGCATCCATTGAGCAATGGATGCAAAAAGAGTCTCAGGAATGGTGGAACAACTATCCAAGACTGAGACAGGCCAAACAGTTCATCAAGGAACCATCGGCCAAGTTTACGAAGGACCTACTGGATCAAAAACGTCAAATCGTTAGGATAACAGTAGGCCTTCTTACTGGATACTGTCGCCTCAAAAGGCACATGAGTGTCATAAATCCAGCAGAAGAAGCAACTTTGTGCAGGTTCTGTGAAGAAGAAGAGAAAACATCATTCCACGTCCTGTGCCAATGTGAAGGCTTGGCTGGAGTGAGGTTTCTAACATTGGGCAAGAAAAGCCAATTGCATGCAACTACATGCGGGAGCCACTGTAAAAGCTACTAAGTCTAACTAATAAAAAAGACCCGGCTAGACGACATACTCTAAAACAAACGAAGTCCCATAATAGATCTGAAAAGGTCGCGGTGAACAAGGACAAATAACGTCCAACTCCTAATCTAATCTAATCTAATGGTAAGCCGCGGGAGGTGGAGGGATGAGCGCGGGTAACCCAAGCGATCTACCTAAGAGATAAATATGATTCGGCGAGCTTTTGTTAATTCTTCCTATGGTCCGCTCTGGATTTTTTCTGACACAAAAAACAGCGATGTTGCCAGTTTCCATAAACTTTTATGAGATTAGAGTAAATTCAAACGTACAAGCTGAACCTTATTTTGTTTTTGTCGTGCTAGATACCATCCATACAATGGCCATACTATTGCTGGGATGTTTTAAAGAGAGGTTTGACAACTGTACTAATATCTTTATAAAAAATAATAAACGGAATGATGGAAGGCGACATAATCGAAAAACCCACAACAACCGTCATAAAATAAAAGTTATTATGATGTAGTGGATGTAGTTTCATAGATATGCAAGTTATTTAGGGTAAGAAGATTGATTAGTGCCGATTTAATGTAATTAGTAAGTACTCGTATTAACAATTTAATTTAAGAGGAGTATTTACTTCACTTTAGAGCAGTGCATGCAAGGGTTTCGTAGTACCCCACTTTTAAAGTTTATTTTTGAATTTTTCTAAGAGAAAAAAATATGTGCGTGTAGGTAAAGGTTTAGTTTGTGTTCCTCTTAAGACACTTTTTCAAAATTTGACTCGTGTTTATATATGGTCACTGGAATATACCTTGCGCAATTAATGAAAATAAATAGGTACCTTAGTAGTTACCAAAAAAATATTTACCTTACAACTCTAGTCTGTGACGTAGAAACATCAGCTAAGTAAGCAGAAATTACTATCATCAAAGTAACAAAACCACCAGTCAAAAGAGAGGGAATAAAACTTATTAAAAACAACCAAGGAGATGCATTTTCAAACAAAACAATTATCGTTGTGGTCATATTTGTTAGAGTAAGACCTAAAATAATAAAATAATATTAGTTACTCTGATGTGTAAAAAGAGTAATGTATATTAAATTAATTAATAAAAGTAATTGATTATAAATAATTAAAATATAATAATAATAATTATAAACAAAACTTTATTTCAGGATGTAAAAAAATAACACAAAACGAGATAGGGTCAATGTTAATACCAACAACAAAATATTATAAATATTATAACAAAAATATTGTACAGAAAAGTCTTTAAATTTTTTGTACATTTTTGGCTTTTAATTAATATTGACCCATGTTTTTATTTTAATTTTTTTTTAGTATCTGAGTAACATAACGAAATAGTGACACAAGATAAAGAACTGGTAAATGTTTTTGTTTCCAGGATTTTGAGTGGAAACCAGTTGTATTGAAACATTTCTGTGAAACACAATACTATAAAACAGATATCTTTACATGTAAAAAACTTCATAAAATCAACTTACCTATTAAAGACAGCAACATAAATGGCTTTCTTCCAAATTTGTCCGACCAAGTTCCCACATACATGCAAAAAACTAAAGGAACTAAGGAATTCATAACAGTACTAACCATATTAATGTAATTAAATGTTGGTTGAACCTTTCTTTCTAAAGATGCTGTTGTTTCATTTTCTACTTTTCCTAGGAGAGCACATTCACTTTCATCATAATCTAATAGTGCATAGCATGTTCTATATATCAGCATATTAGTCGAAACGTTCACTAAAAATTTGTAAAATAATAGTTTAGCATATTTAAATTAATTTTTAAAATCTAAATAGATAAGGAAAATATTAAATGCTTTTTTTTAATTGATAAAGAAATTGTCTTTAAAAACTAACAGATCATCCCAAAATAAAAAGTCAGGACAATATTGCAGCTCACCATAAATCTCGAAAATAATAATTTGAGAAATAGTCCCCAAATATAGACAAACAACTAAAATTCTAATATTTTTAATACTGTCACGCTTCGTATAAATTCATATTTTTTTAAATTCTAATTATTTATCTAAATAACATCCTGTACATAAAACTTTGTTTAATTATGTCGACAATTTGTTTTAAATTGCAATCATGTGCAAGGTGGATTATTTAAATAATTATTAAATATAAATCAAATAATAATAAACTAACATATGAACTTATAAAAGGTAATTTGAGGTCAGATGGGGATTCTCCGCGTGGCTAGGCCGCATGTTGGTCGCGAGTGCTTAAAGCCTTTTTTTGTATTTTGATTCGCAGTACTAATCAAGGGTTGTGGCGTGTGCCCCAAATGTTAACGGAGTTGGTGAGTTAATACTTTATTGTTTCTTGATATTATATTGAGCCCCGTATTTGAGTATGTCTAGTTAGGACATATTTTGTACAATTATTTTATTTATATTATATTTGTTTTGAGAACACTCTCTTTCCTTCAGCCCTTTTACAGAGACGTGTTAAGTCTTATATCAAAAGTAGAACCCTTGTACAGTTAAGGGCTATGAGGTCAAGTCTAGTAATTTAGTGTTTACACTATTTAGACCCTTATCGTCTAACATAGCTGGTCCCTAATTATAAAAATCTGATGTGTCCAACACATGACTTTCCTATCTAGTTATTATAGGCTTTTTCCGGTTATTTTGTACAACCTATTGCAGCACCTCTATAAATGTTTAGAGGATAAACTAAATATATACATTTTCCACATACATCTAACTCGAAACATTTTTCTATAGATATTCATTGAAAACGAAAATACTGAAAAATTTAAATTTAGCACTTTTCCTTCAATACGGTCCATTTTAGAAAAATCATATAAAAAACAAAAATTATAAAGATCTATATCACAAATAACTTTTATTAAAACAATTTTCCTAAAAATTTGAATTTTATTACATTTTGTCAAATTTCTCGAATACGGACCATTTTAAAAAAAAATTGTAAAGAACCAAAATTATAGATAATAATATTGTAAGTAATTCTTATCTGAACAATTTTCTTGTCCAAACATAAATAACAGATATATTCCATAAAATATAAAAACGGCCTCCCATAAAGTATCCCCCCCCCCCAAATGTTCCGCCTTTGTCCAAAATCTAATAATTTCACCTCAGGCCGAAATAAAACTTAAGTTTAAAATTTAATGTTTTTTCCTTTATCCATTTTTGAGTTTTATTCAAAATTCGAAATTTACACATTTTCTCAAATATCTCGAATACGTTTCATTTTAGAGAAATTATGTATCAAATAAAAATTATAGAGAATTATATTACAAACAACTTTTATCTGAACAATTTTTATAAAAAAATAATTTTTTTACATTTTGTCAAATTTCTCGCATACGGATCATTTTAGGAAAATTTTGTATATAACAAAAATTATAGATAATAATATTATAAGAAACTTTAATTAAAGAATTTTCTTCTTTAAACGTAAATAACGGATATATTTCATAAAATATAAAAATGACCACCAATAAAGTACCCCCCCAAATGTTCCGACTCTGCTCGAAATCTAATCAGTTCACCGCAGGCTGGAATAAAGCTTAAGTTTAAAATTTGGTGTTTTTCTTTGTATCGGTTCATGAGTTATGGTGGATACACACACACACACACACACACACACATACACACACACACACACACACACACACACACACACACACACACACACACACACACACACACACACACACACACACACACACACACACACACACACACACACACACACACACACCCACCCACACACACGCACACACACACCCACCCACACACACGCACGCACGCACGCACGCACGCACGCACCCACGCACGCACGCACGCACAGACGTAAAAATCCGTCGAAAACTGGAGGTCGAAAAAATCATGATTCCTATACTTTCCTTATCTGTATACAGATAGGAAAGTAAAAAAGCACGTAAAACGTGTTTTAGAACACGCTTAACGTGACAATACCTGCCTCTAATAATTAACAAACTACAAATATAAATCTTAATCAGTTTGAAAAGCAACCAAGGAATTTAAGAAATCATTAACCGAAACTATATCAATCATAACAGAAGAAGAAAAACGAGCTGAAGAGAGCAAAACATTGACCTGGAGACTAAAAATAAGATAAAACTCGATTCATCAAAAATATTACTAGTAGAAAAAGGTTTCTAATTACGATCTCATTACGTGGACTAAATAAATTATAATGAAAATGTTTCATTATACTTTACATCCTTGTTAGTGGAAATAAAGATAACCATGTAGTATACCTATGTTACGCCACTGACCCACATGTTTAGATTTAAAATTTTATGTTATTCTATATCGCTGTCTGCCTAAATTACTCATTACCAATTTTTGTGTCGCGTGATTCACATTGTTCAGACCGACTACATTCGAGAAATTATAAAAACATGGAAAGAAACTTTAGAAAACGCAAATCGTCTTAGAAATACGATAATTTGAAAAAGAAATGAAGAAATTCAGAGCACAGGTAGGAAAATAATATTTTTCTTTTTATTTAACTGATTTTTGGCTTGCAGAAGGTACTACTACTTTATGTGTAAATTTCTGCATTTAGACGACAAATAAATATACAGAGGATACTACTTTATGTGTTAACCGTGTAGTCATTCATAAAATCCGTCTGCAAAACGAAAAATGCTACTTAATGTGCAAATTTCACAAAACTTTGATGAAGGCAGATACTACTTTATGTAGAAAAAAGGCTTCTTTATCTGGCAACTCTGGTCTTATGCTTGTAAAATGCAAGGAAGTAAAAATGCTACGGAAAGCTCATTGATTATAAAGGGTGATCCAATTTCAGTTTCCTACATTGGCACTACTGCAAATCAGACAGTTGATAATATGCATTTGTTTTCAAAGCGTCAAAAGTCAGTTTGTAGTAATAGATTTACGAAACGGATCGATTAACGACCTCTCAACGCATCCAAATTATGCGATTAATTTATCAAATCGACAATTCCGTACGAACTGTATACGTGCAAATTATGGTCAATATAATCGTCCTACGGAGCGAACTATTTAAAATGTCAAACAATTTGAAGATAATGGAAGTGTTGCAGATATGAGAAGGTCTGTGAATCATCGTCGTCTTTGGCGCATTTTGCATCGGGATTTGCATTTACACCCATATAAAATTCAGCAAACACAAGAGGTGAAGCCTAGGGACCATACCCAATCAATCCGAAACGTTAGATCATCTGAAAAACAATATTCGCCAAGTTATTGCCAACATACCGCCCGAAATGTTTAAAAAAGTCATCGAAAATTATCTAAAAAGGATCGACTCTTGCAGAAGGTCTAGGGGCGGCTATTTAAATGATATTAGTTTTCATACTTAATGAAATATCAATATTAATATTTTCTATTGCTTAAGAGCGATATCCATGCGACACCTAACAGCAAATTCAGGTTTAGAACACACTGACAACTTTCAGTGCATCTGAATGCACTTTGGCAACGTTGCTCTATTCCCAGACTTAGGTACGCTCCCTTCAATTTATTACTTATAAACTATAGATGATTTAAAATATAAAAAAGGTCGATAAATCGCAGGTCCGGTCTAACAAAGAGTATTTTTGTTTTGTTTTCTCGTTTAAAATATTTTTAAAGGTATAACCTGGTGTAACATTTTCGAAACTCTTTTTTCTAACTAAATAATTTATTTACGAAATATACGTATGTATATCCTATGATTATTTCGAAAAATGGCATTCTCGTACAAACGCCACTGGTGCAAGTGGAAATATTTGGAACACCCCAAAAAATACACATTTGTCCCTTCAAAGTTTTTTTGGAAATTTAGAGTAAATATCTTTAAAACTATTTGAAATATTTAATAAAGTTTACTAAATTAAAATTTAAACATTCTGTATCCCGAAAACGAAGCACATTTTGACCTACTTTTATAGGAACTTTTTTTAACAAAATAATTTTGATAACAATTTTCAAAAATCTTTCTTACTTATTAACAAATACCCTGTATAAAAATACGTTTTTTAAATAACAATTCATTTAATACTAGTTTGTGCAACAACCGTGAACAATCCACTGGAGTTGTACAGTATGTTTTTTCTACGACCCAATAACGAAAATCTACAAATGTAAAGTATTATTTTAGGAAAAGACAAAATAACTAATTTTAAAATAAATTATGACTAATTTGTGAAATAAAATAAACATGAAAAAATATTTAATTTTATTAGTCCCCAGCCCAGATTTGAACTCGGGCCTCTCGCGTGAAAGGCAGATGCCGTATCCTCATTTTCACCTCCACATTTATAATTTTAGTTCTAATAGTAGTAATTAAATTAGTTTCATATAGGTAGGTTGATTCAAATTTAAATTTTTTTAAAATGTAGTACAAATAAAAATAAATTAAAATTATTTATGGATTCTACACAAAAATAACTCATTTTAATGTATATTTAATCTCAATACCTAAAAAATATACTGACAATTAGTTTGACAGAATTGTCACTTATTTAAAATTTAAAAAATAATAGTAGTTGGGTGTCCAATATATAAACTGTGATTGGTGGATTTAATTTTTTTTGTAGTGTTCTCACTACCTAGAATGGATATGAAATATATTCGTTGAGTTGAACGCAATAGTATATTTTTTCGTTTTGTAGTCTGTGCGTGAATAGTAGTTTGTGCAACAAAATTGGATATGATGGCCATATCGCACGAAGACGAAGTTTGAAAACGACTCCGTAGACGGAGT